GTATTTTATTGAAGATTTTTGCATCTATGTTAATCATGGATATTGGCCTGAAGTTTTCTTTTCTTGCTGAGTCTCTGCCAGGTTTTGGTATCAGGATGATGTTGGTCTCATAAAATGATTTGGGAAGGAGTCCCTCTTTTGGTATTGTTTGGAATAGTTTTAGAAGGAATGGTACCAGCTCCTCTTTGTTTGTCTGGTAGAATTCGGCTGTGAAGCCATCTGGACCTGGGCTTTTTTTGGGGTGGTAGGCTCTTAATTGCTGCCTCAACTTCAGACCTTGTTATTGGTCTATTCAGGGTTTTGGATTCTTCCTGGTTTAGGCTTGGAAGGATGCACGTGTCCAGGAATTTATCCATTTCTTCCAGGTTTACTAGTTTATATGCATAGAGTTGTTCGTAATAATCTCTGATGATGGTTTGTATTTCTGTGGAATCTGTGGTGATATCCCCTTTATCATTTTGTATTGCATCTATTTGATTCTTCTCTGTTTTCTTTTTTATTAATCTGGCTAGTGGTCTGTCTGTTTTGTTCATCTTTTCGAAAAACCAGCTCCTAGATTTATTGATTTTTTTTGAAGGGTTTTTTTGTGTCTCTATCTCCTTCCGTTCTTCTCTGATCTTAGTTATTTCTTGTCTTTTGCTAGGTTTTGAGTTTTTTTGATCTTGCTCCTCTAGCTCTTTGAATTTTGATGATAGGGTGTCGATTTTAGATCTTTCCTTGCTTCTCATGTGGGCATTTATTACTGTATATTTTTCTCTAGACGCTGCTTTAAATGTGTCCCATAGATTCTGGTATGTTGTGTCTTCGTTCTCGTTGGTTTCGAAGAACATCTTTATTTCTGCCTTCATTTCATTGTTTACCCAGTCAACATTCAAGAGCCAGTTGTTCAGTTTCCGTGAAGCTGTGCAGTTCTGAGTTAGTTTCTCAATTCTGAGTTCTAACTTGATTGCACTGTGGTCTGAGAGACTGTTTGTTATGATTTCCGTTCTTTTGCATTTGCTGAGGAGTGATTTACTTCCAATTATGTGGTCAATTTTAGAGTAGGTGTGATGTGGTGCTGAGAAGAATGTATATTCTGTGGATTTGGGGTGGAGAGTTCTGTAAATGTCTATTAGGTTTGCTTGTTCCAGGTCTGAGTTCAAGTCCTGGATATCCTTGTTAATTTTCTGTCTCGTTGATTTGTCTAATACTGACAATGGGGTGTTAAAGTCTCCCACTATTATTGTGTGGGAGCCTAAGTCTCTTTGTAAGTCATTAAGAACTTGCATTATGTATCTGGGGCTCCTGTATTGGGTGCGTATATATTTAGGATCATTAGCTCTTATTGTTGCATTGATCCTTTTACCATAATGTAATGCCATTCTTTGTCTCTTTTGATCTTTGTTGGTTTAAAGTCTGTTTTATCAGAGATGAGAATTGCAACTCCTGCTTTTTTTTGCTCTCCATTTGCTTGGTAAATCTTTCTCCATCCCTTTATTTTGAGCCTTTGTATATCCTTGCATGTGAGATGGGTTTCCTGGATACAGCACACCGATGGGTTTTGACTTTTTATCCAATTTGCCAGTCTGTGTCTTTTGATTGGGGCATTTAGCCCATTTACATTTAGGGTTAATATTGTTATGTGTAAATTTGATCCTGCCATTTTGATGCTAGCTGGCTGTTTTGGCCGTTAGTTGATGCAGTTTCTTCATTGTGTCGATGCTCTTTACCATTTGGTATGTTTTTGGAGTGGCTGGTACTGGTTGTTCCTTTCTATGTGTAGAGCCTCTTTCAGGAGCTCTTGTAAAGCTGGCCTGGTGGTGATGAAATCTCCAAGTACTTGCTTGTTCGTAAAGGATTTTATTTTTCCTTCACTTATGAAGCTTAGTTTGGCTGGATATGAAATTCTGGGTTGAAAGTTCTTTTCTTTAAGGATGTTGAATATTGGCCCCTGTTCTCTTCTGGCTTGTAGGGTTTCTGCTGAAAGATCTGCTGTGAGTCTGATGGGCTTCCCTTTGTGGGTAACCTGACCTTTCTCTCTGGCTGCCCTTAGCATTTTCTCCTTCATTTCAACCCTGGTGAATCTGACAGTTGTGTGCCTTGGGGTTGCTGTTTTTGAGGAATATCTTTGTGGTGTTCTCTGTATTTCCTCGACTTGAATATTGGCCTGCCTTGCTAGGTTGGGGAAGTTTTCCTGGATAATATCTTGAAGAGTATTTTCCAGCTTGGATTCATTCTCTCCATCACATTCAAGTACACCTATCAAACATAGATTAGGTCTTTTCACATAGTCCCATATTTCTTGGAGACTTTGTTCATTCCTTTTTACCCTTTTTTCTCTATTCTTGCCTTCTTATTTTAATTTATTGAGTTGATCTTCGACCTCTGATACCCTTTCTTCTGCTTGGTCAATTCGGCTGCTGAAACTTATGTATGCTTCACGAAGTTCTTGTGTTTTTCAGCTCCATCAATTTACTTATATTCCTCTCTAAGTTGTTTATTCTCATTAGCATTTCATCAAATCTTTTTTCAACGTTCTTAGTTTGTTTGCATTGGGTTAGAACATGTTCTTTTAGCTCAGAGAAGTTTCTTATTACCAATCTTCTGAAGCCTGATTCTGCCAATTCATCACACTCATTCACCATGCAGCCTAGTTCCCTTGCTGGTGAGGAGTTGTGACCCCTTGTAGGAGAAGAGGCGTTTTGGTTTCGGGTGTTTTCATCTTTTTTGTGCTGGTTTCTTCCCATCTTTGTGGATTTATCCACCTGTTGTCTTTGTAGTTGTTGACTTTGAGATTGGGTCTCTGAGTGGATGTCCAGTTTGTTGATGATGAAGTTATTTCTTTCTGTTTCTTAGTTTTCCTTCTAACATTCAGGCCCCTCTGCTGTAGGACTGCTGAGGTCCACTCCAGGCCCTGCTTGCCTGGGGATCACCTGCAGCAGCTGCAGAACAGTAAGGGTACCTGCCAGTTTCTTCTTCTGCTATCTTTGTCCCAGAAGGATACCCGCCAGATGTCAGCCTGAGCTCTCCTTTATGAGGTGACTCTTTGTATATACAGGGGTCAGGGAGCTGCTTGAGGAGACAGTCTGTCCTTTATAGGAGCTCAAATGCTGAGCTGTGAGCTCTGTTGTTCATTCAGAGCTGCTGGGCAGGTACGTTTAAGTCTGCTGCAGCAGAACTCATAAACCCCCCTTTTTTTCCCCAGGTGCTCTGTCCCAGGGAGTTAGGGCTTTTTTTATGAGCTTCTGTTGCGCTGCTGCCTTTTTTCAGGGCTGCGGTGCCCAGCGAGGAGGCAGCCTAGTCACTGTCTGCCTGCAGAGGCTTTGCTGAGCTGCTGTGGGCTCCGCCCAGCTGCCATATGAACTTCCCTGCAGTCCAATTTATACGGGTATAGTTAGAACTGCCTCAGCAATGGCAAACTACCTCTGTAGTGGTGGACTGCCTTGGTAATGGCGGATGCTCCTCCCCCACAGAGCTGGATCGTCCAGGGTTCAGCTATGCTTGCTGTGAAATTCTCAATCCAGAGCGATTCCGATTGCTGTTTTTTTGTGGGGGTGGGACCAGCCGAGCCTGATCACCTGGCTCCCTGCCTCAGAGCCCTCTTTTTTTTTTTTTTCTTTTAAGTTGAATGGTCGACTCTGTCTCCCAGGTGTTCCAGTTGCCTGTTGAAAAGGCACCAGGATCTGTGTGATTTCCCATGCGGCGACCCGCTGCATCTGCTGAAACAGCCGCACTGAGATTTGTGGAGCTTTTTTGCCTGGGAATCTCCTGGCCTGGCTCCCTGTTTCAGTCCCCTTTTTTTCATCAGTTGACTGGGTGACTCTTTCTCCCAGGAGCTCCAATTGCCAGCTAAAACAGCGCCCAGACCCATGTATTTTATAAGGAGAACCGCCATGCTGGGGTGCCAGCAAAACAGCCGCGCTGGTGACCCATGGGGCTCCTCCTCCTGGGAATCTCCTGGTCTGTGGGCAATAAAAATCCGTCTGGAAATGCGGCGTCCACTCACCCTGCGCCTTCGCTGGGAGCTGCAATCCTGAGCTGCTCCTAATCGGCCGTCCGGGATCCGTCAGCTTTCTTTTCTTTTCTCTTTTCTTTTCTTTCTTTTTTTCTTTTCTTTTCTTTCTTTTCTTTTTCTTTCTTTCTTTCTTTCTTCTTTCTCTTTTCTTTTTTCTTTTCTTTCTTTCTTTCTTTCTTTTCTTCTTTCTTTTCTTTCTTTTTCTTTCTTTCTCTTTTCTTTTCTTTTCTTTTTTCTTTTCTTTTCTTTTCTTTTCTTTTCTTTTCTTTCTTTATTCGTTTTTTGAAACAGAGCCTTGCTCTGTCAGCCAAGTTGGAGTGCAGTGGTGCAATCTTGGCTCACTGCCACCTCTGCCTCCCAGGTTCAACCGATTCGATTCTCCTGCCTCAGCCTCCCAAGTAGCTGGTATTATAGGCACCTGCCACCATGCCTGGCTAATTTTTGTATTTTTAGTAGAGATGGGGTTTCACCATGTTGGCCAGGCTGATCTTGAATTCCTGACCTCATTTGATCCACCTGCCTTGGCCTCCCAAAGTGCTGGGATTACAGGTATGAGCCATTGCACCTGGCTGACTCGCTAATTTTTAAAAAAATTTTTAGAGGCAGGGCCTTGCTATGTTGCCCAGGCTGATCTCGAATTCTTACCCTCAAGCGATCCTCCCACTTCACCCTCCCAAAGTGGCATTGAGCCACTGTGCCTGACCTGAAGTAATAATACCTCAAAATATTTTTGGCATGGTGGCTTCTTGGCCTTGATTATCTTGCTCTGTTTGGCTGGCTTTGCAGAAGGGAGAGAGACCAGAAGAAATGAGAGGCATTCTAACTTCCCAGAGCATACACTGCTGTTAGCAGTCTATGACACACAGAAAACACTGGTATCACTTCACAGATCTGGAGTCTGCCCAAGCTGTGTTCTCTTGGTTTTTTTTTGTAAACTGCTTAAGAAGACTCAGAATGAGGCTAGCAATATAATTCAAGTGTATTAATTTTTCTTTTCACTTTTCAGGCTGGAGTAAAAGGGACATTGGGAAGATTAGTTGGAATTTTTGAGGTAAGTCTGTTAAAATCTTTGGTACAAATGATATGTATTAATAACCACACAGAGACCGGGCGCAGTGGCTCATGCCTATAATCCCAGCACTTTGGGAGGCTGAGGCAGGCAGATCATGAAGTCAAGAGTTCGAGACCAGCATGGCCAACATGGTGAAACCCCATCTCTACTAAGAATACAAAAATTAGCCAGGCGTGGTGACACATGCCTGTAATCCCAGTTTTCTCGGGAGGCTAAGGCAGGAGAGTCACTTGAACCCAGGAGGCAGAGGTTGCAGTGAACCAAGATTGTGCCACTGCACTCCAGCCTGGGTGACAGAGCAAGACTCTGTTGGGGGGGGAGGGGACCACACAGATACCAACATCAGAAAAACGCCATCTCTGTTTCAGCGAGTTTTTTTTTTTAGTTATTTTTAACTTTTTGAGACAACGTCTCACTCTGTCACCCAGGCTGGAGTGGAGTGGGGTGGCACAGCCATAGCTCACTGCAGCCTTGGACTCCTGGGCTCAAAGTAATCTCCTGCTTCAGCCTCCCAAATGTTTTTTAGAAACAGGGTCGTGTTGTGTTGCCCAAGCTAGTCTCTTAATTCCTGGGCTTAATTGATCTCCTGCCTCAGCCTCCCAAAATGCTGGGATTACAGGGGCGAGCCACCATGCCCCACCTCAGTGAGTTTTTTTTTTTTTTTTTTTTTTTCTAAGACAGGGTTTCACCATGTTGGTCAGGCTGGTCTTGAACTCCTGACCTCAGGTGATCCGCCCGCCTTGACCTCCAAAGTGCTTGGATTACAGGCGTGAGCCACTACGCCTGGCTAAAAGTTGTCAGTATATTGTCTCTCTCTCTTTTTTTTTTTTTAAAGATGGGGTTTCACCGTGTTGGTCAGGCTGGTCTTGAACTCCTGACCTCAGGTGATCCACCGCCTTGGCCTCCAAAGTGCTTGGCTTACAGGCGTGAGCCACCACACCCAGCTTCGGTGAGTTTTTTAAAGAAAACAACACCTACAGAGAATCCCATGCTTTAAAAAAAAGAAAGAAAGCAAGGAAGAAATCCCATAGTTTCCTCTAAACTACTAGAATTATTTGTAAGTATTGTTTTACCCCATTCCTACCTTTCTTCCTCTTCTCCGAAGGTAAGAGGAAGAACAGCTAAGAGTAGAGAGACAGAAGAAAAATAGAAGACAAGTAACTATAACAAAGGAAAAACAGGGAAATAAGCTGTGATAAAAATTTGAAAGAAGTCAGGGAAAAAAGTAAGAAATAAAGATCAGCCAAGGCTGGGTGCAGTGGCTCATACCTGTAATCCCAGCATTTTGGGAAGCTGACACAGGAAAATCACTTGAGGCTAGGAATTCAAGACCAACCTGAGCAACACAATGAGACCCCATCTCTCTCTTTTTTTTTTTTTTTTGGACAGGAAGTAAATGTATTGTTTCATATTATGAGGGGGCAGCACAATGGAAGCCCTCATAAGTGCAGGGCCCGCCACTTGTCCAGAGGGCCACGATTAGGGATGTACTTAACCCCACAGCCATCTGGGATGAGCCGCTTCTCAGCCACCATGTCTTCAAATTCATCAGCACTGAACTTGGTGAAGCCCCACTTCTTTGAGATGTGGATCTTCTGGCGGCCAGGGAACTTGAACTTGGCCTTGCGAAGGGCCTCAGTCACATGCTCCTTGTTCTGCAGCTTGGTGCGGATGGACATGATCACTTGGCCAATGTGAACCCTGGCCACAGTGCCCTGGGGCTTTCCAAAGGCACCTCGCATGCCTGTTTGGAGCCTACATTGGGGTAGTGCAAGGTCAGACACATGAACATATGTCTGGAAGGCCTGTCTCCAAGGTCCCTTAGAGCAACCCATACAAGAAACAGGCTGCATACACTACCGAGGAAGCTGCTGTTTGCAGCCATCGCACACTGGGCTCCCATGAGGAAAAGAATGAGATCCTATCTCTACAAAAAGTTTAAAAAATAAAAATATCAAAAGAAAGGTCTCTGATAGAAAAAATACATGTGTAAAAAAAAATTTTTTTTTTTTTTTTTTTTGAGACAGAGTCTTGCTCTGTTGCCTAGGCTGGCGTATACTGTCGTGATCTCGGCTCACCACAATCTCCACCTCCCAGGTTCAAGCAATTCTCCTGCCTCAGCCTCCCAAGTAGCTGGGATTACAGGCACCCACCACTACATCTGGCTAATTTTTGTATTTTTAGTAGAGATGGGGTTTCACCATGTTGGCCAGGCTGTTCTGGAACTCCTGACCTCAGGTAGCTACCCGCCTCAGCCTCCCCAAAGTGCTGTGATTACAGCCATGAGCCACCACCCCCAGCAATAAATAAATTTTTTTAAAAGGTGGCTGGGCACTGTGATTCATGCCTGTAACCCCAGCATTTTGGGGGCCCAAAGTGGGAGGATCACTTGAGCCTAGGAGTTCAAGACCAGCGTGGACAACATGGTGAAATCCTGTCTCTACAAAAAAATACAAAAATTAGGTGGGTGTGGTGGCTCACTTCTCTAATACCAGCACTTTGGGAGACTGAGAAGGGCGGATCACTTGAGGTCAGGAATTCGAGATCAGCCTGACCAACATGGTAGAACCTTGTCGCTACTAAAAATAAAAATTTAGCCGGGCATGGTGGTGCGTGCCTATAGTCCCAGCTAGTCAGGAAGCTGAGGCAGGAGAATGTCTGGAGCCCGGGAGGCAGAGGTTGCAGTGATCCAAGATCATGCCACTGTACTCCAGCCTGTGTAACAGACCAAGACTCTGTCTCAAAAAAAAAAAAAAAAAAAAAAGGTGAATGGGGTTAGTGGGAAAAGAGGTGTGTGTGTGTGTGTGTCACACTCAGCTTGTTTGTCTTGATGGGGTCACTGAAGTTTGAGACCTCTGTGGTGGTCCACCCATCCACAGTCTTCTCTCCCTGGTGTTCTAGCTAATTAAATTTATATGATGCCTTTTTCTTGAGGGATCACAGCATTCCTGTGAAGTTGTATTTAGGCGAAGGGGAGGAAAAACCAATGTAAATACTTGGTTTTAGAAGGCCAGCCAAAGTACACCCTCAAATTCAAGTGTGGCCTATTTTGAATAATGTAGCTATAACTGTAGTACCATAAAAAGTAAAAGTTTAGAATCTTTGTGTCGAAGTTCTCTGGATATATGCATAGGAGTGTGTTTCATTTCAGCAATTCCAGCACTCTAAGGAAAAACTCTCTGTTTTTCTTTCTTTGCCCTTCAGAACCAGGAGAGAAAGCACAGGACGTATGTCTATGTGCTCATTGTCACTGAAGTGCTGGAAGACTGGGAAGATTCAGTTAACATTGGTAAGCCGTCACCAGACAGCCTGGAATGGGCTTCTCACAGCCAGCTCTTTCCATGCGACAGGTCATTACCAGAACCAGAAACAAGTGCTTGCCAGGCTCAGTGGCTCACACCTGTAATCCCAGTACTTTGGGAGGCCAACACAGGAGGATCACCTGAGCCCAGGACTTTGAGACCAGTCTGGGCAACCCAGTAAGACCTCATCTCTGCAAAATTCAGAAGAATTAGCTGAGCGTGGTGGCACATGCCTGTGGCCCCAGCTTCTCAGGAGCCTGAGGCAGGAAGATCATTTGAGCTTGGGAGGTTGAGGTCATATTGAGCCATAATCATGCAACTGCACTCCAGCCTGGGCAACAGAGCGAGATCTTGTCTCAAAAAAAAAACAAAATACAAAAAAAAAAAAAAAAAAGGAGCCAGATAACAGAAATAATTGAAAGATGTTTCTAATAAACAAGCATGTACATTTTGAACTTGATAGTATTTTGAAATGTTTAAATGGAGTCTGGGTCTTGAGTACATGGTCCACAAATAGAAGTATGACTCCTAAAAATAAGAAATGTTGCTTCTAAAATCAAACTGGATCCTTCTCAAAAGGGCTATACTTCTACACCCCTTGACCAGATATTGATTGAGAGCCTCTGCCATACCAGGCTCACTGCTGGCCTTGGGGACCATAGGTGAGAGCAGGACCTTGGTCTTGTTCCTCATAACATTCATATTGTTGAGAAAACTGTTGGTTTCATGGTTTGAGTCCCTCCAGAAATCATTTAGTAGATGCAGAATAATGCAGATAGTTTCTGGTTTTGTTGATATAAAATATGAATATATATTTTTATATTTTTTCACATTTTATATGAATATAAAAAATTATAAAATTTGTGAAATTTTATAAAAGGGTGCTGGGTGCAACCTTTAGATACACCCATTCTCTCAAAGGAGCCATTTTTTGGATCTCATACGGCTATTACATTTACATCTCTTGAACTATAAACTCTGGTAGTACAAAGGTTGGTTCACAGTTTGTTTACCTCTGAAGGAAAGCATATTCTAGAAAGAACACTAATTTCTGTTGGACAGATAAAATTTACTTGCTAAAATTCTCCCTTTATTGTTAGTGTTTGCCCTGCCTCCATGCCCCTCACATTGTTACTCTGGGCAGTTTGTAGCCCTTTGGCTTTGTATCTAGTAATAATGCAGGGTGCTCAAGGAAATAAATTCAGTGTGGGTATACTGAAAACAGACTCCCTGACAGCTGTGCCAGTGCCTGAAAAGGAGACAATGAATGTGTGGTCTGGCCCTGTCCTCAGAGCACCCTCTGTCAGGCAGGAGTCACACACTTGTGATATGAAGTTTTTTAGGTACCATTGCTATATTAATATCCAAACAAGCCTTTCACCTTGTACTCCCACTTCTGAGAATTGACCCTAATGAAATAATCTAAAATATGACAAACAGGCCTGTGGAGCCTTCCTTCAGATGATCTTACTACCATTATTCTTACCGGTTAAAAATTGCATCTTAAATGTATAGCTTGTTGTGGAAGCTTGATTAGTTAAAAAAAAAAAAAAAAAGAATTAAAAAAATGTATAACTCAGTGAATGACAAATAATGAATGACGTGTCTGATGGAATGTTATACAGCTGTTAAACACCATAGTTATAAAAGTTATATGCAGCCAGACGCAGTGGCTCACACCTGTAATTCCAGCACTTCGCAATGCTGAGGCAGGTAGATCACCTGAGGTCAGGAGTTCGAGACCAGCCTGGCCAACATGGGGAAACCCTGTCTCTACTAAAAATACAAAAATTAGCCAGGCATGGTGGCAGGCGCCTGTAATCCCAGCTACTCAGCAGGCTGAGGCCCAAGAATCACTTGAGCCTGGGTGGCAGAGGTTGCAGTGAGCCAGGATCACACCACTGCATTCCAGCCTAGGTGGCAGAATGAGACTCTGTCTCAAAAGTAATAATAATAAAAATCACAGACAGTTGAGGTCCAATGATATGGAAATGGTTAAATGAACGATAGTACATCCATGCTAGATATTATGACATAATGCAGCCACGTCTTAAAAAAAAAGAGCCTCATTCTGTTGTCCAGACTGGAGTGCAGTGGCATGATCACAGCTCGCTCACAGCAGCCTCAACTTCCTGGGCTCAAGGAGACCTCCTGCCTTAGCCCCACTAACAATGGCAGTGTCACATGTTTTTCATAACATAGATTGCTTAAGAAATAGTGTGAAATAGGACAGGTGTGGTGACTCATTTCTTTAATTCCAAGCATTTTGGGAGGCCAAGGCAGGAGGATCACTTGAGGCCAGGAATTTGAGACCCCATTTATACAAAAAAAAAAAAAAAAGAAGAAGAAGAAGAAGGTATGGCGTGTGCCTGTAGTCCTAGCTACTTGGGAGGCTGGTTCAGGAAGATCCCTGAAGTCTGGGAGCTTGAGTTTGCAGTGAACTATGATCATACCATTGCAATCCAGCCTGTGAGACCCTGTCTCTGGAAAAAAAAAGAAAGGAAAAAATAATGTGAAGTAAAAAAGAAGCAGTAACAATAAATTAGAAAGCAAACTCTTAGCAGCACATACTCTGTGCCAGGTACTCTTCAGGTGCTTTGCATATTGATCCTCATAACAAACTTGTGAGATAGGCCCTATTTATTGTCTGTTTTATAGATGAGGAAAATGAAGCAGGAGCACAGCTGTCCGAGCTGGCATCTATGTGATTGGAGCCCAGCAGTGTGGCTTCAGAGTCCTTGTTCCTGACCGTAACACTCTAGCAGAGCTGCTCAGGATTTGGAGTACCTGAAAGCATGATCCAAATTTAGTTGTCCGGAGATCGCTTGTTTTTCAAGTATACGAAAAAAGGGCAATTGTGCTAGGGTATTGAGAGTGGTTTTTTCTGATTTATAAGATTATGGGTACTTATTACTTTTATAAGAGAAAAAAATAAAAAGGATTTAAAAACACGCATTTTAAAAGAGTAAGAAAATAGACTGAAAAGTATAAAACTGTATTGAGATTTTTTCATTAAAAAATGTTAGGTAATAAATCACTTTTATAAGAAAACTTTTAAATAAGTTACTGATTACAAACCAGCCATCCTAGTAATTCTGGAAGCTGATGCTCCTGTTGATTCCCCCCACCTTGGGACAGGGTCTCACTCTGTCACCATGCTGGAGTGCAGTGGCGCGATCACAGCTCACTGCAGCCTCAACCTCCTGGGCTCAGGTGTTCCTCGCATCTCAGCCTCCTAGGTAGCTGGGACTACACGATTGTACCACCATGCCCAGCTAATTTTTGTATTTTTTGTAGAGACAGTTTTCCCATGTTGCTCAGGCTGGTCTCAAATTCCTTGGCTCAAGCAGTCCGCCGAGTTCAGCCTCCCTAAGTGCTGAGATTACAGGCATGAGCCACTGCATCCCGCCCTCATGTCAGTTTTTACAGGAGATAGGGATGTTGCTGGGCTTCGGCTCCTAATGTATATGCAAGCAAGGAAACCAGGAGGGTGGAAGGAAAACACTAGCCATAGTTTCCTCTGGAGGATAGGTTTTACACAGTTAGTCTTAGCTCTTCAGTTTCCAGGGTTCTCACTATTTTCTACATTAGACATTGATGTCGCATTTGAAGCATATGAAGTGTGCTTGCATTACTTTTATAAGAAAAAAAGTGTTTAGAGGCATTGCTTTAACATTTTCTTCTACATTTTCTCAAAAATTCTGGGCTTAGAAACCTTACTGCTCTTGTACTAGTTTCTTTTCTCTCTGCCTCCACAGGAAGGAAGAGGGAATGGTTTAAAATAGAAGACGCCATAAAAGTGCTGCAGTATCACAAACCCGTGCAGGCGTCATATTTTGAAACATTGAGGCAAGGCTACTCAGCCAACAATGGCACCCCAGTCGTGGCCACCACGTACTCAGTTTCTGCTCAGAGCTCGATGTCAGGCATCAGATGACTGAAGACTTCCTGTAAGAGAAATGGAAATTGGAAACTAGACTGAAGTGCAGATCTTCCCTCTCACCCTGGCTCTTTCCACTTCTCCTCACAGGCCTCTTCTTTCAAATAGGCATGATGGGCAGCAGAGAAAGGGTATATTGATAATGTTGCTGTTTGGTGTTAAGTGATGGGGCTTTTTCTTCTCTTTTTATTGAGGGGTGGGGGTTGGGTGTGTAATTTGTAAGTACTTTTGTGCATGATCTGTCCCTCCCTCCTCCCATCCCTGCAGTCCTCTGAAGAGAGGCCAACAGCCTTCCCCTGCCTTGGATTCTGAAGTGTTCCTGTTTGTCTTATCCTAGCCCTGGCCAGACATTTTTCTTTGATTTTTAATTTTTTTTTTATTAAAAGATACCAGTATGAGATGATAACCTTTCAAGAATTTTTCCTATAATGTGCTATACAGTTTAGTAGGGCGGTCACTTTCATTGCAGGATACATTTATCTACACATTATATATTGGACATATAATATGTAAATAAATGACTTCTAGAAAGAGAAATTTAATTGTTTAATTTTTTAAGGTTTTTTTCTCTTTTAATTTGGACATTTCTGGAATTGAGAGCCTTACAGTTAATACAGCTTTTTGTTTTTGAGGCTAGTAGCTGGGGAGGTTTCCCTGTCCTCTTTCTGTTTCCTAGCCATTGACTGTAGTTACATAGGTATGGGAAGAGTTTAGCTACCTTCATAGTGCTCCCGGGATTCATGGCATTTCCTTCTTTACGCTGTATTTCCATGCCAAGAAGGAAACCAGAAGAAACCGGTTTTTGTGTGTGTTTTTTTTTTTAAACCAAGCTATGAGCAAATGGCCTCAGCCCAGATCTGGAAAAACAATGATAGAAATTGAATTCTGCCCCACATGTTGACAGTAGGGTGAACTGGATTCTTGGGATTACTTATCTAAAAAACTGGAGCATAGGCACTGTTTCTGTCCTGCTGGTTTGGAATCTTTCCTGTAATGCTACTTATTGCCCACAATGGCCTCTCTTCCTGTCCATATATGCCTTACACTGTGCTGACCTGGATATCATCCTTGTGCTCTGAAGCATCCAACTATACTTTGCAGGTGCATCGATGCAGTCCTGTCCCCACACTGGGTAACCGTGTTCCTGAAAAGTATGTGGGAGAAATTCAGGTGCTTGCGTGTCTTTGTAATGGTGCGGCACTTATGATTGCATCATGGAGCATGCTCAGAGCTATTAAATTGGTCTCCCATCTCCCACCAGGATGTGAAAGGTCCACATGGGAAGCCACGTAATCATTTATTAGAGTGGCTACATAATACACTGGCTCACTGCAGACTCTCTTGTTGGTTTTTTATACAGGCTTCATGCTGGCTTCATTTGCCAGTTGTGTTGTTTGGTTGGAAAGTAAGAGGGTCTTGAGATTGAGGCATAGAAAGGGGTACACTCATTGATCCCTGGCTTAGGACACGAGATTGTCTCCGTACTCCAGTGGCATCTCCTTAGCCAAGATGTGAAATTAAAATCGTAGTTCTCCTTATTTAAAAATTCCAATAAAGCACTTAAACTTAGAAAAGCTTTTACTTTTCCATCCCACTAAAAGAAATGGATCTTGTAGCCCTGTGTCACTTTGCGTTCAGCACTTTTGGGAACATCATTTGGTGAACGTTAAATTTTGCTCTCTACTCTTAGTTTATATCCTCTCTCCCAGTCTTGAAACACAGGGCCAAAGAGCAGTTGTAATCTTGGGATACCATGATACCTCTAGGAAAGGAATTACATCCCCAGGGAAAGGTCCCATTGGATAAGAACAGCACCGTGGGGCTTGAGTCTGAATGCCAACTTGCTATTCACACATTCTTCTTAAAAGTGAACACACTGTTTCTTATCCTCACTTAAAGCATTCTGAAGTTCTGTTCAAATAAATAAAGGGGAAAATAAAGTAGATTTAACCACATGCTAAGTGAAATTCAAGAAACACATTCTTCCAGATAAATTCTACCTTTATGGTATGGATTTGAAAGTACTTTGCAGGAAAATAGTCAGTACTCTTTAAAAAGGAACTAGAGGGCCAGGTGCAGTGGCTCAAGCCTGTAACCCTAGCACTTTGAGAGGCCAGGGCAGGTGAATCACTTGAGGCCAGGAGTTGGAGACCAGCCTGGCCAACATGGTGAAACCCCGTCTCTCGTAGAAATACAAAAATTAGCCAGATGTGATGGTGTACACCTGTAATCCCAGCTACTTGGGAGGCTGAGCCATGGGAATCGTTTGAACCTGGGAGGTGAAGGTTGCAGTGAGCCAAGATCATGCCACTGCACTCCAGCCTGGGCAACAGAGCGAGACTCTATCTCAATAGAAAAATAAGAAAATAAAACAGAACTGCAGTACTAACAGTAATTTTTACATTTTTTTAATGACCTGAGTGTGTTTTGACTGGGCTAGTGTAACAATATACTACCCCAAAAGTGCAGTTTTGATTATTGTTGGTGTCTTTAGGTCAGGAAAGTGAACTGTGCCAGCAAGTATTGTTTAGTGACATGAATGGATTCCTATTAATGCAATTAACTGGAGAGATTGTGCTGATGCTTTCTTAACTGACAAAAGGAGGCTTTGTCCAACATCAGAATTGTTGAAACTGGTGCTATTTTCTGTTGCACTGGGATTCTGGTGATCTGGGATTGGTGTTTTTGCTCCCTGGCACGTGAACAGCGTGGCTGTCTTTACCAATGTCATCATAGTCCTTTAATGATAGATTAGTTAGACCCATGGTTGCAATACCTTTATCTCCCCAAAGAACAGAAGCAAAAGAAAGCACAAAAACTACCCTATTTGCAGAATATTTCATTGACATTGATTTGTCATTAATTCTGCCAGTGCTGATCTCATTCAGGCTTGGTAGAAACAGGTTCCTGTGTTTCGGGCAGATCCCTAGCCTCTCGCTCACAGGGAATTTGCATGTCCCAGATTCTGGTTATTACTAGAGCATCCATTAAAGTCTACCAAACTCAGGACAGAGAAAGATAGCAGTGGACTTAAAAAATTTTCTAGTTTATAAATTACAGCCACTGGGGAAACACTAATAAGGTCATGTGATCTTATGGACCAGGATTTTCTCTGTCTCTCCCCTTGGGTGTGTGTGGGTGCGTGTGTGTGAGACAAGGGCTGCCAGGAGGTATCAACCATGTTAGATTTTCTGTAGCCTTCCAGAAACAGTGCAGCCCATGAAACAGGAATCTTGATTTTGCTCATAACAAACATAACAGGATGGAACAGTTAGTGAATTGACTGTTTTGTTTTCACAAGTGTCCACCACTCCATCTGCCCTGCATGGAGAGGGCTCTCACTGCTAGGTCTAGGCTGAGCCATCTGGAAGGATCAAAGGGTGTGGGAGTCTCACCCCCTCTCAGTCTGCAGAAGGTCTGGAGGGTGGCAGCACAGCAGGATTTCTGCCTTCCGCATTGCGCTGCACAGCCCCATGGAACAGTGAGGCCCTTGAGGCCTTGTTTCTTGCAGCCTCTGGGGAGCAGAGTAGGTCACTGCCCTCTGGGGGTATTTTGCAGTAGTTTTGTAAATGTGTTGCTACATAGTCAAGTTCCTTTGTGGCAAAGAAATATTTTGTTTTGTTCTTAGGAGTCAGCCCATGTAATGCCTCTTGGCTTTGTTGCTTAGAAGAAAAAAGTCACCCTTTGTGGTTTTTTAAAAGAAGAAGAAAATTCTGTGCCGATTTGTTCATCATCCTCCTTCCCCTTCCCTTTTCTTCACATACAGTGCTCATTGGAGGTTCCTGCCAAAATTTCTTAACCAGAGAAGTAATAGGTATTTGTTAGACCTGGGTGTATGTTTCGCATTATCCTTCACATATTTCACATTTTCATCTAGTACTTTATTATTGCCTTTGTTGAAGTCCCCATCCTCATCTTAAAAAACAACAGCTTAGCCTAAGCCACATTTACTTTTTTTTAGTTCACAAAAAGGATTTAATAGCCACAATGTGATTTTTGCCACAACTGTGTGATTTTAATATTCTTTGTTATCGAGCATGGATTTAGATTTGCAGGAAATACCTGGAAAAATCACAGTGGGATGAATTTTTGCTTTAAGAGAAATAAGAGTTGGCTGTGATTGATAACACAGCTTCATCCTAGTCCCATCTGCATTTCAGAAAATAGCCCACATCTTTATAAAACACAGGAGACTTGTGGGACAGTTAAGCAGGTATGGGGAGGGAAGGTATTATTTAATGGTGATTAAATAACGCAGATGGCCCTTCTGGTTCTTAGGTTTTTTTTGTTGTTGTTGTTTTTTCTGTTACTATTTATTGGCATCAAAACGAAACAAGCTGAGAGTAAAAGTTGCTATTTAACACGAATAGACATTGGTGCAGTTTCCTTCCTTGAGATGGTATGCACTCATATCATGAGACCTAAGATCAAACACACACTGAATTGTCAAGAATCAAACAAGGACTACATTTTACCTCTTAATAGAAAAAATGCTGAAGACAAAACGAGATGTTTAAAAATATTCTTTATGCTAAGCTCATGTAAGCAAACAAAAAACTAAAACTAATCCTAAAACTTGAGGACATTGGGTACAGAATTAACATTAACTATTTAAATTTTTTGCATCAACGAAAGTATGATCTATCCTTCCCTGTACTTTTACTACAAGGACATATGCTTATTGTTTCTACACTACACAAAGTCAACAGTTATCATCAACAATGAAATAGAACTAGATTGGAACAAGGCTTCAAAGCGACTCTGCTCCACCCAAATTAAGAAAATTCAATTCAGGATGAACAACAGCTTTTGGTTTAGAACCAGCTCTTACTTTTCTCTCGTGTCACACGTGATGAAGTCCTCACTTGATATTCCCCCCTGCAAATTGCAATGCATGTCCTCACCATCACCTTTTTCTGACACTTTAAAAGTAATTTGTAGAAATTGCAAAAGCAATGAAATCGTACTTCCAATTCTGAACCTCTGATCATATTCCTGCTTTGACACAAGAGTAACTCCTCTGCAGTGTACCCCACCAGCACAGCGACCCCCTTTCTCTCTATTCCTTTGCCCTGAAGGCACTTCTGGATTGCTTAACGTGTGCTCTTTGGCTGCCTAGACAGTCAGGACACCTAAGGCCATCTGTACTTATCACTCCTCTCCTCCGTCTTTTCTATGACTAATACCACTTTCCTGCTTCCGTTCTACTGCTGAGTCACCAGACTTGGTGCTGTCATCAGGGGGACAGAGTCGATTTCGGCTTCGAGCTCCTGGTTGGTAAAGCTGCATTGCTGGACAATCCTTGTTTCTTATTCAATTTCTTGACCACTTCTTTCTTTTCAGTTTTTTCTGAGCTTCCTATTGATTCTGTACTTTCGGCCTTCTTTCCTTTATCCCAAAGTGTTTCTTTCTCCTTTTTCATTTCTTCTTTTCTCTTAAAAGTCTTCTCTTTCTCATAGGATTCCTTCTGCCTATGGCGCTCTTCTCGCCGCTTCAGCCTCTTCTTCTCGAAGTATGCGCTCCTGATCTCGTTCATAATCCCGTTCCCTCTCCCTGTAGTCTCCGCTGCTCTCATCTTCAGGTCTCTTTGGTTTTTCATCTTTAAATTCTCTATCAGAACGCTTGGGCAATGTACAACTTTGCCCACTGGCTCTTTCATCACTGAGATTCTCTTTGTCCAATGTCTTGGCTTTCTTTTTCATCTCCTTTTTCTGGCTTCTTGAGCAGCTTAATCTTTGGTTCATCCTTTAATTTGTCCCTTTCTGGAATATTCTGTCTTATCTTCTTTAGCTTTCGTTTCTCCTCTTCTTTCCATTTCCTCCTCTCTTCTTCTCTTTGCCTTTTTCTTTCTATTTCTCTCCTTCTTTCTTTTCTCATTCTCTGCTAGTTTTTCAGGAAGCCCAAAAGTGGGGTTGTCTTTTTAGCTATTAATTCTCTATTTTTTGCTTCTATTTCCTCTAGCAGTGTCTCTGGAGTAGATGTCATTTTCTCATTATCCATGGCATAACTTTCCAAAAACTTTCTATATTCTGGATCATCATCAATAGTCCTGACTCTGGTATCTCTTCTCTTAGTCTTCTTTTTTGCAGCTTTTTGAAAAGGTGCAAATTCTACCATAGCAGGATATTCCTGACCATTATTGTCAAGGAATACATAACCATCAAAGCGATCCCTGAGTAAAATAACGTCCTCTTGGTTTTTAAAGTTGATGTATGCTCTGGCATACATATGAGGATACAGACTCATATCATTAGAAAAAAACTCAAAATAATCATGTTCAGGCATAGGTTAAAGATGTTCCTGAAGCTGCTCCTTGGTCAAAGTGGGAGGTAATCTTCGAATTACCACCTTGCTCAGCGCCTCTTTCTTCTCCTTGTTGCAATCCTGTTTATCTTCCCCCTTGGAACTGTCCCCTGAAGTCCCACCACTGCTGCCTGTGGCTCCAGGGGGCGTTAACAGGGTTACTCGCTTCTCCTTGGGCCTGTGCTCCTCTTCCTTCATGGCTACGTCCGTCACAGAGGCGGCTCGGCTGCAGCGCGTTACACCGGGCACCAACAGCTCTGGTTCTTAGTTTTAAAGACTGCGAAAGAGGTCAGACTCGAGGCACTGCAGTTCATACTACGCAGGTGAGGTGGCAGTCATTTATTCTGAGCCTGCTGGATAGAGCCTGTCTCCTCAAGGCTGCAAAGGCTTCCAGGATATGTAGCTGTCCAGTTAGTGGCTCAGCCTTGCCTCCATCCGGGCACCCATCTAACCTGGAGCAGGTGAGAGCACCGCAGAGCCATTCTCCGTGCTCTGTGGTGAGTTTTGCAGTGGAGACTTACTTCACCATCCAGGGAAGCTGTGTTTCTGTGTCACTTGAGATACCACCTAAAAATGAAACGTTTGAGATTTTAAGGTTAAAAAAAAAAAAGTAGTGCTCGCTTCGGCAGCACATATACTAAAATTGGAACGATACAGAGAAGATGAGCATGGCCCCTGCGCAAGGATGACACACACATTCGTGAAGCGTTCCATAAAAAAAAAAAAAAAGTAAATCGGGAGCATTGGCTGCAGTCCCTAAAAGATACTGTTGTCTGTGCATCAGCTGGCTCGAGGTCACCACAGGTCCTAGGAGCCCAGAAAGGCTAGGCATGCTGTCCTTTGGAGGCCAGCAGCCTTTCACACACCCTGCCTCCAAAACCGCGGTTTTACATTTGACCATGTTTTTGCAGTTAGCCTCAGAAGCTCTTGTCTTTAACTGATAACCTTTCAGGGATATGAGAAGCCTACTTGGAGCATCTGAGAAAATGATACCTCTCACCTTTAGATTAATCAGTTTGTCTTCCTAGTTCCCTTAAAAATTAATAAATAGGAAGGGAATCCTATTTTGTGATTTGGGCATACTACTTGAACTGGGGCAGGTGGTTACATGATTTTGGCTATCTCTGACATGAAGATTTTAAAGTGAGAGTCATGTCTCTTCCCTGAAGCTTTGTTTACAGTGATAATTTGCTGAGTTTGAGCTTGTCTTTGAAAATAAGACTGTCCACCTGGGGAGGGGAGCTTATAAGGAAGCCGTGTTAACTCGGAATGCTGAAGAAAGGGCTTTTGGCCAAAAAAGCAAGATTAATATCTAGAAGGTAGAAAGCAGTCATTGCCTCTGTTCCTCCAGCAGTTGATGGTTTAATAACTAGGTTTCCTTTGGTTTATATCCCCAGTTCTTAATATAAAACTTATTTGACTTCCTATCAGGAAGCACAAAAAAAAAAGCACCATTTAAAACCCTGGATATAGGCATTTAAGGATACAACAGCAGCAGCATTGCCGTTTGGCCAGGTTCATCACCATTCTGATGTGCTGCCCATCCTTCCTCCCTCCCTTTCCTGTCCCCTGAGCCCCCCCCCCCAGCCAGGCCAGATGCGAAGATTCTATTAATCATTGATTCAGAGAACATTAAGTCTTTTCTGGAATAATTAGCTACTAAATTGCTTGTTATATGACTGTACCTTTTAGACAACATCTCAACAGTACAGTGAAGTAGCTCTCCTGGACTTGAGCTTCCAGCCAGGCATTTAGTTCAAACTCTTAAGCCTTTGTGGAATTCCTTAGGGAAAAAAGCAAGATGCCTCAGTGCCAATGCTGGGCCTTAAGACTGTACTCCCCTCTCTGTCGGGCGGGGCTAGTGGCTCAGCTTTGGGAAATCATTTTGTCAGTAAGATTGCCTGTGAATCCCTTTGAGAAGTCATGCTGATCTGAGCCTGTCTTCTGAGCACTTTCGTGCTGAATTGAAAATGGTAAGCTAAAGCAGTGACTGATCCACATAGCCTCTTTAACCTCTGTATTGTCTTGCCGAAAAAAACCTTCCCAGGTTAATAAACTTTGGTCTTTAACCTCCCTTTGTTGTGGAGAAAATGTGTCACTAATTAATGGTCCAAAGGATATCTAGTTATGTTTACTCAGTCCAGCAGCAGAACAGATAGGACTTATGCCAGGGAAGTTAGAGGCTGATTATGAAGACACCCAGGAGCAGGAATAAGGAGGATAGGTCTGCTCCACACAGAACCTCCCCAGATCTGAAGGTAAGTCTTGGAGAGCTTCCAAAATGCTGAAGTAAAAAGGAGACTTGAAGGGCCTTAGCTTGGTGAGCAAGAGGCTTGTGTCCTCCCAAGAACATGAAGGAGTTCAGAAGGGAACAAGAGGCACCTAAGCTGGAGCTCACAGACGGACTGACCTGCCCGCTCACCCTGTGTGACTGAGCATTTTCGCTCTGAATTTTCCAAGGGGTCTCTCCCTTCAAAAATCCAGTTTACTACCAGAATTTTGTTTAGCCTCTGAGAATCTCACCCCCTCACTTCCATCTGTGAACGGACATGGATGTGTTGCTCAGGGAACAGAAACATCAGCGTCCAGGGCCCAGTGGCATGGCGTTAGGTTAGTAGTTAGAAAAGCAGTCGGCCAACCCGACTGTAAAAGAAATCAGTGTGTAGTACAGCTTTGTAAATGTCAGTCTGTTCTATTATTTTGTGATCTGAAAACTGTCACACTGGTTGGTAATCAAAGAAAAGGTTGGTGGTTAGAATAAGTAAAATTTCAGTTAGAAAAACAGCTTACCAGTTTTCCATGTGCGTTATTAAGGAAGTCAGGAGTATTTCAGGCCGTTGGGAACTGTTGTAAATGGACCTGAAGCAAGTGTTCCTCGCCCTCTTAGGTGTATGAGAGAGAGGAGTGGAAGGCCAGCAGTAGCGCGTCTGCTTACTTTTGCCAACCCAGCCTCCATTTCAAAGACTTTGTCTTCTATCCTATCCAATGACATGGTCAGGGATTGGCTCTGAGGAGGCAGTGAGGCCCTGCCTTGGTTTGCTCAGCTGTGGTGTGTAGTCTCCAAAGAGCTTAAGGGTTTTTAAGGAGTTTTCTCACATGAGCACCTTCACTTCACTCATCTGCCATCATCAGCAGGAAGGTTAACATCCCTGGGACCATTTCAGTTTTAAAAGTGATAAACCGTTACAGGTGTACCATCCAGATACAGTCTCCTCTTGGCCAGGTTCAACAGGTGTTTCCAGGGAACCCTGTGGGTTAAGAGGCAAAGTAGCCGAGATGTGTTGTTTTTCCAGAAGACAAAAGTATTTCTTGTCCCTTTTCCCTCATGCTCATATGTTTTAGCTGAGGCTTAAATAGCCAAGTTGAGTAATGTCTCTGGAACTGAGACAGAGCCAAGGGCCCATGTACCCAGGGACCAGTCCCCTGAGGAATCACACAGTGGCTCAGACCAGACTGCCCGATCCCACCAGAACTCTGCTGCTATTCCTTTCCACCAGGACCACCCAGGAAAGCAAGTAAGTTAGCTTCTCATCACTAGGTCACCTGATCCTTGTAGGCTGCAGGATGAGAGCATATATGGATCTCCTGTTTAGACAGTTTGTTCATAATGGTAGAAAGGGGTAGAAAACGGAACAAACAAGAGACCAAGTCATTTTTGAAGAGGATGGCAAGTATGACCCCAAATGAGCTCAACAAAACTGGGAATCCAAAGAACGGTGCTTATAGGGAAAGAGGTCAGTTGTGGTCCTGAAACCTCTTGGCATCTGGTGTGGGTTTTGAAACAAGGAGCTGGGGTAAAATTGCCCTAACCCCAATCCAAACGTGTTCCAGGATTTAGGAGCTACCCAGCCCGTGGGTAAATGGTCTTGGTTTCCGTTTTTGGTTTGTTTGCGTTTTTCCAAAACAACCTTGCTTGGTACTGCATGGAAAGTGAAGCTTTTCTTCCAGCCTGCTCGGGACCACCTGTCTGGGCTGGCCTCTTCCCCGCGTCTTCACAGCATTTCTAAGGAAGATTTTTGCAGTGCTCTCTGGAGCTGCGGGGAGTGGAATTTGGTCCAGAGAAGGCGGAAGAAAATAGTTTTCCTCCTTTTCTCAAGGCGGATGTTCTCAGGCTTCCTTCACACCTCCTTCCCATGGGTGCGGCTGGCAGTACAGTCAGGTTGTGGAGGAGGGCTGAGAAGAAAGGGGTACCAGTCCAGCCCCAGGATTGGTCCGAGTCAGGTACACAGCAGATACCATCCCACCTTCCTCTCTTAAGAGCAGGCCAGCCACACATAAAACCTTTCCCTGCTTTACTAATGTGTCCCTTATGTGGTACCAGCATCGGGGGCCAGGCAGACTTACCCCTGCAATCTAGAGAGAATGTTGTTACTACCCATAAAACTGACCACCCCCACATCCCACTCCTTTTTGTAAAAACAAATGCTTAAACCTGTGACCCTGCCGTTCCTTTCTATGTGTTAATGAATTTCCTTCCATTTGAGCTGTGTGGGAGGGAAGGGCATTGAAACTGTAGGTTGTAATCTTGTGCCAACCAATAAAAAACAAGTATTTCACACACATCTCTTTTAGTGTCTGGTCTCTTCTTTCCAGAGGTTTCCCTTGAGTCCTTCATGTCAATCTTGGTTTCCCCACCCCTCTGCTGGATTCTTGGGAATTGCCCTAGAAGTCAAGGGTGGCCCCGTGGAAGATTTGGTGTGCAGGGCATTCAGGTGAGAAATGCAGTGGAGAAGCCAGAGGCGGTTAGAATCGGCATTTTGTTTTATCTTGCTGTCCTTGCTACCGGGTGCCCAGAGAGAGCCCTAGTTAGACAGACAGTGCCCAGTGCTAAGGAGAGGGCCTGTCGCCCTTAGCCAAGGAGGCTTTATGGGGGCCCAAAGGAACTGGAAGGGGAAAGAAGTGAGCCACATCCAAAATAAGGAAGCATCACAAGAAGCTTCCTTCTGTGATGGGGTGGAATCAGGAAGGGTGGAGCCATTTTTTGAAGATGTGTAGTGGTAGGGCTTGCAGGCAGAGTGGGTGGGCATCACCAGTGGGAGAGCAGGATTAAGTGAGCTGTGTCCCGTGGTCCCAAAAGGAAGGAACAGTTTGAGCTGTGATGGAAAATAAAGTCTGGTGAGATCAAATTATGGAAAGCCACAAAAGCCAGTCCAGAGAGTTTGGTTTTATGCTTGGCGTGGACCTGAACAGGGCAGTCATGTGGCATCAGCCATGTCTCAGGAGGAGCTGGCAGGAGAGCCTGGATTGGAACAGTCTGGAAGCTTGTGATACCATGCCTGAGGCTCTGCAGACTCGAGTGCACCTGGAAATGCAGAGGCAGACAGAGAAACAACAATGAACAGCCTATAAGTCAGAAACATCCATCCACCAAGACAAGCTGGCAGCTAGGATAGGACTCTGTTGGCAGCATCACTGGTCAAGTATAAGCCAAGGAACCTGATGGAGTCAGTGGAAGATAAGTCACTTCCAGGACAAGACACACAAATCTCTGTGCCCAGATGATAATCAGTTAGTTGGTTGATTTAGAGACAGAGCTTTGCTTTGTTGCCCAGGCTGGAGTGCAGTGGCACAATCTCGACTCACTGCAGCCTCCACCTCCCGGGTTCAAGCAATTCTCTACCTCAGCCTCCTGAGTAGCTGGGATTACAGGCACCCGTCACTGTGCCTGGCTAATTTTTGTATTTTTGGTAGAGATGGGGTTCCACTATCTTGGCCAGGCTGGCCTTGAACTCCTGACCTCGTGATCCACCCGCCTCAGCCCCCCCAAAATGCTGGGATTACAGATCTGAGCCACTCCACCCAGCCAATAATTGGTTCCATTTATATGATGGTAAACATCAAAGTTACCTGGTTTGCGTACTGGCTGGCTGTGTGGGAAGCCAAAAAAAAAAAAAAAAAAGCACAGTGTTGGTTACTGAGCAGCAATAAACAGCCTCTTGACTTCATTTCACCACAGGACAAATTCCCTATCAGTTGGTCAGGGAACCCATTCCCCCTAAAATTCTGATTCTACAGCCTTCCTCTGTTCATTCCATGATGATCACCCTTCCTTCCTCCATCAAAGGATTCTTTCTTTGGCCAGATTTAGTGTGTATGGTGAGGCTATGAGCTCATACATGCTGAAACTGGTGATGTACTCAGGAAACCATCAACTGGCCACCTCTAATTGGGACATGAGTGTTCTGGAAACACCCCACTCGCCCATGTCAGATCATTATGGACCATTCTAAAGCTGGTCCATTATCACATTTACATGATGATTCTGTTTTATTCTCAGAGGGCAAATGGCAAGGTTCAGGATTACCTTTCTGCAGTCTGGTCTTCCAATGGCCTGCAGGACTTCTGGCTAGAGAGAGAGAAATCTAAAGAGACGCTCCAAAATTTTGGACATGGGTGGAGAGAGGAAATCAGCCCCAAGGACACCAGCGCAGCTCCTAACATTGTGGGGACCAGCTTCGCATTTCCTCTATCCTTTGTTGACATGCCGGGTGGTGGCTCTGACCCTCTAAGCCAGTTAGAGTTGGTAGAATTCCTGCTCATCCCCAGTCAGTCTGGCTTCCGTTTATGAAGACCTGATAACTGCTCCAAGAAAGCCTGGTGTTACAAGCCATGGCCTTGCTTGCTTTCTGGTTTCCAGCAGATTTCGGCGGTGAAGGGTTTATTTCCCATCCTTGATCTTGTGACATCCAGCTAACATCTCAGCATCTGAAGATGCAGCCATGAGGTTCCATGTTCTGTGTTCTGAATAATAGCGATGTGCTAAACCTAGGACACACAGTCCTCACAGAGGCACCTGATTGGTGACAGATGGCACCAAATGAGAGAGATGACAGCCTGGGAAAAGTAAACCACTGGGGGAATGTGAAGTAGGAAGGAGCAATATCAGAGAGAGCTCGGGTGGGAGGACCATGGAAGAATGGGATGGAGATAAATTCAGAAAAGGGAGCTTTGCGCAGTGGCAGTATCGTAGCCAATGAGGTTTACCCGAGGCGCGATTATTGCTAATTGAAAATTTTCCCAATACCCCGCCATGACGACTTGCAATATAGTTGGCATTGGCAATTTTTGACAGTCTCTACGGAGACTGAAAAAAATAGTAATTTTTTTAAAAAAGGAATTCAGAAAAGGGAAGGATGGTCATTCGTCCGAAGGCTCTCTGGTGTAACAGAAGATATGAATGTTGGGAATTAGCCCAGGATGCAGGTCTCTGCGCCGCTGTTGACAAGCTCTTTGATCTTGGACAAATTACCATCCGTGCTCCTTCCTGTTCAGTGGGGAAGAAGTCTACATCTCAGGATCATTGTGTTAAATAAGGGAAAGAGTGTGTGTGGCACCAAAGTCAAGGTGTGATTATCAAATGGTGGCACCTCTTTGGAAATGCCAAGGCCTGTGCTGAGTTCGCTAAATAAGACACAGAGTCCCAACAGACACAAGGAATCACAGTGCAGAGCGATGAAGGCAATAAAGGAAGCCCGAGGAAGTGCCTAACCTCAAAGGAGGCGTTGTCTGAGAGGATCTGTGAGGGATGCATGGGATCCCTGCCTGAAGGGACAGCATGTTCGAAGGCAGAGCAGTGTGTTAGGGGAACCTGATAGGGATAGCGGGCAGGGAGGAGGGAGAGGCCAGAGGTGCCATGGGAAAGGTTAGCTGGGGTCGGATGGCTTAGCAGGCTGTGTTTGAACTTTACTCTGCATGCCTTGGAAGCCAACAATGATTTTAAAACAGAACAGTGACTGCATCAGGTCGGACATTTGGGGAAGATGACACTATCTATTCTGTGTTTCTTGTGTTCCTGGCCAGGTAGTGGTCACTGTTTCACAGTTAGTCTTTGCAGTCCTGTGAGGCATAGGTCATGGTAAAGGAAATGGGGCTTAGGGAAGCTGTTTTCTAAAGGACCCAGACAACCTTCTCTAAAAACCACAGGGCAACGCACCAAGGATGTCTAAGACAATTTGGAGAAACTGCCAGGAAAAAACACAGGACTACAATGGAAGTCCTGTGTTCAGTCAGTATCAAGACTTAATGTAAAGGTACAGTAACTAAATGTGATCAATGGAATAGCTGGATAGAAATAGAAATCAATCAGACAATAAAAGTGAGCTGGGGACCAAGAAACAGACCTGTGCATACATGGGAATATGGTAGGAGCCAGAGGAACTATGCACCCGAGTGGGGAAAGGAAGGATTCTGTAGTAGGTGGTGTTGGGACAATCAACCAAACAGGAAAAAATGATTTCACAGCCAGGCACAGTGGTTCACACCTGTAATCCTAGCACTTTGGGAGGTCAAGGCGGGCAGATCACCTGAGATCAAGAGTTCGAGACCAACCTGGCCAAAATGGTGAAACCCCGTCTCTGCTAAAAATACAAAAATTAGCCAGCGGTGGTGGCATGTGCCTGTAATCCCAGCTACTCAGGAGGCTGAAGCAGGAGAATCACTTGAACCCAGGAGGTAGAGGTTGCAGTGAGCCAAGACTGCACCATTTCACTCCAGGCAGGCAACAGAAGGAGACTCCGTCTCAAAAAGAAAAAAAAAAAAAAAATCCCTACTTCACACATCATTTATGAAAATAAATTCACAAATATGAAAAAAGTCATAAAAATGTTTAGAAGAAAATATGGAAGTTAAGTAACATATCCAAGGTAACAGAAGAACTGCAGTTCAACATAGGGGTCTGATGTCAGAACCTGCTCCCTTGGCAGTCCTCTCCTGGTCACTTCAGACTGTAAGATGGACCGGGGCAAGGGGAAACTGAAGGTGGGGAGGGGCAAATGAGGGCTGGATTTGCACCCTGTCCCTAGACACCTCACAGGAAGCGTTGCTAGGGAGGTAGAGGGAGGAACTTCCTCATGACATCAACATCACTGAATAAACGCACTGGTGATGAGCTTAGATGCTGACAGGTGTTTTGTGTGAGAGAGAGGGAGACCATCAAGTACTCAACAAACATCTATTGAGGGCGGATGGGTGGTCCTTAGGCTTAGGTAGGTGTGAAGAGGATACAAAGAACGGCAGTGAGCCTTTACATGATAGAGCAGGAAGGATTTTAGGGATCATCTAGTCCAATCCTGTTTCACAGATTGAGAAGTAGACACGATGAGAAGGAATTTCACCAGTATTCTAATTTGAAACTCTAAGTGGAAAATACAGATCACTGGCCATGCTGTAAATAGCTAATCGCTCCATTTGTACTGACAAAATATTTTTTTAAATTATCCTGGCTGGGCGAGGTGGCTCATGCCTGTAATCCCAGCATTTTGGGAGACTGAGACAGGTGGATCACTTGAGCTTAGGAGTTTGAGACCAGCTTGGCCATCATGGCAAAATCCCATCTCTACTAAAAATACAAAAAGAAATGAGCAGGGTGTGGTGGTGCACGCCTATGATCTCGGCTACTCAGGAGGCTGAGACACAACAATTACTTGAACCTGGGAAGCGGAGGTTGCAGTGAGCCAAGATCGCGCCACTGCACTCCAGCCTGAAAGCCAGAGTAAGACCCTGTCTCAAAAAAGAGAAAAGAAGGCCTGGTGTGGTAGCTAATGCTTGTAATCTCAGCACTTTA